CCAAGAATACTTTGTTGGGGAAGCCATTTTCCGAAAAAGATATTGTCACGTTTGATTGGCGGCTCTTTCTCGTACTTCCACACAACTTTGTAGGGCAATTTATCGAACACGTCGAAGAAAACCTGTAGAGTCTCTTTCGGCAGGTCCGAACTCATGGCATTGCTGCCGAGGCTGAAGTAAATGCATCCTTCAGTCGTTTGATCCAAGTAGCTTTTCAGATCCTAGTAAAAGAAATTCAGAGTACTTACTTGCTTTTGACGTTATCAAGAAACTAGCGCTAGGTGCGATTAAGATGGAGACTAAACGTAATAAGTGAATCATTTTCTAGGCAGATAACTCTATACATTTGTTAACAGTGAGTCATTAATATTCAAAATTTCACATTGGATGGAATTTAAGCAGGAGTTTCATGCATGAAGTCTTTTAAAACATAATAACGTGATCGTGGTAATTGATTTAGTGCGTTTATAAAGTACGGTCTTGAAGCATTGTTTTTATTTCAGGATTGTGGGTATATATGGTCAAGCGTGCTTGTGGGTGGCCGGGGTCGCCTTGTGACTTATTATGGTGCGAGTGGGACGGCTGTATGTGTAAGAAAGAAAAAGCGAATGAGATAAGCTTTAAAAGCGAGTGGGAATGCGTGCGCGGGAGATACTTCTGCGCGATTAGCAAGAGAACGGTTGTGTGCTTAGTGTAACGATAGTATTTTTTTCTGATGACTATTATAGTCTTAGTTAATAAATATAACATATGTGTATTAATAATAAATTAAATAATTATCAATTGTAGTTATTTTTAGTTATTACTAACTCCAAATACGTGCAAAAGGAAATCCGAATTTAAAGTAAATTTAACTTATATCCTAAAAAATGCATAACTTAAGGTACATGAAATTGAGAATATTTTTGCAAGTATTCTTTTAACATTTGGTTTACGAACATTTATTGGATACTTTATTTTATTAGTCCTGGAAAGATAAGCGTATATTCACATACATTTTGGAAATTTATAGGGGTGTGCAAAGTCCCAAAAATCGCGATAACTAGATGGTTATTTCTTGTTCGTTCTCCACAAATAAGAGCCAGTTTTCGAAATTTCGATTTTTTAGACTTCTCTGGGAACATCCATGTGTTGTATACCAGATGCATCAGAAAGAAATGCTACATTATGTGATTGTGCTTTGTTCTGGAAATCCATAATATTCTCGAAAATTCCGCTCATTTTCGGAATCTCGTTCTCACCTTTTAGATTCCGACAATGTGGAGATCTCGAACAGTTCGGGATTATAAGCCTTAAAAACAGAATTAACGTACGTATTCGGATAACTGTATCAATTATAATTGATTGAACTGTATCAGTTATAGTTCCAAAGACACAACAATAACAATGCCTGTCTCCATTGTTGTTCTTCTTAGGCCACTTCATTTTATTTCACAAAACACAACGTTCGCTAGTTCCTTTCAATCTCTTTGTACATCTTGCTCAACCAAACATTAATATATTAAAGTGAAAATTAAAATGTACCTATCATCGGCGCGTTGAATCTGTTAACGAAGGCGTACACATCGGGTGAGCAAAATATCTCGACCAGCAGAACGTCGAAATGCTCGTTGCTATTAGACGCATACAACCGTTTCATGTCCGCGTTGCTGAGCACGTTTTCCGCAAAAGCAATGTTCATGAATATAATGTGTTCCTCTTCGAACGTCAGCCAGTCAATTTTGCCGAACCGCAGCTTAATGGAATCGAAATTCCTGATGTTACTGTAGAATTGACCGACGTTGATTTGCGTGAAGTTCTTCCGATCCAGGTTCGGGATCGGATCCGCAATAACAAGCACGATGTCGTGCCCTCGTTTATTGAGTTACAACCATAATGGGCGGTATGGGATCTGATAACTATAGAAAGGCGTCAGAACTATCGCTAGAATCCTCGCAGACTGCAGCTGTCTGATAACGTATAGGATGCTCAAGACGAAAAGCGCGGCGGGCATAGTGAACTTCATGGAGATCATTGGAAAATTACACTGTGGAACAAATTTTTACCTATTTTACTTTTTACAATAACCACTAGGTGATTCTTATAGAGTTCCTTACCCTATTATGAAAATTTATAAAACAATTAAACATTATATATACATATAAGAAGTGACCGGGGTCCAGGTCTATACAGCGCGTAGTCACGGCTCTGACTTGCCGTGACCGGTGAGCAATGGCCGTGTGGCGCCAAAGTTTCGTGCACGCGCTCTTTACGGACATTTTCTTAACTTGTCGGAAAGAGGAACCGTTCACACGCTTCCCACGGATGGGTTTCTCTTCAGAAATGTCTGCAGAATCCAATGGCGCATAGTAAATTCGTGCTAGCCGACTCACTTTTCGTAGAAATGTAATAGAAGTGCATACGAAGCACGCGCATCTACCCTTTTTTAAACTTTTGATCATCATTACAAACATTTAATGATATAAAAAATTCAAAATTTGTATAGCTACGTGTTCGAGCAAGTTTCCTTTATTTTCTGCGATAAATTTTAAATGCCTACCGTTTTTAGTTTTCACGTAACACTTGGTTTCCTGAAAAATTTGACCGTTTCTACAAAAACCCAGTTTTTTCGAGAACTGGACGTGACCCAGCAATTTGGTTTTCGGATTCGCATTTAGGGCAAGGAACTCTATAAGAATCACCTAGTGGTTATTTTAAGAAGCAAAATAGGTTAAAATTTGTCCCACAATGTTATCAACTGCAAACGCTGGTTGCGGAACTAATCGTAACATGACGCGTGACAGTGAATTTGCAAAAGAACAACCTCACGAAAAAACGTTATCATGAAATAGAATTCGGTGATTAATATTCGCTGAGTCACGATGTCGAATTAGTATGTATCGTGTAATTGAACGGTCATATGTGTATACTCCCAAAGAAAAGACACGCGTGTGCTATCTTGAATTTCTCGCGTTATAATTATAATACAGAAAAGGTATAAATGATACAGAAAGACTATTTTCTACTAATATTTAAACACTACCTATATTGGAATTTTTACAAGATATTCTCGTTAGGGGGAATATAAACACAGAAATAGACGGAGACAAAATTATAGCACACTCAAGGTTTATTTTGTTTTCCTTCAATATGTCACGCGGTTTAAGGAAGTTATTGGCCAGTCAGTGTTCAGTGCTTCTTAATATTTGTATCTGTTGCATTTGGTGATTGTTCATGGTAAAAGATTGTCTGATACTGAAATAAATGCAATTCTTATTTTTAGAAAACGCAAAGTAACGATTACAGAAATTGCGAAAGAAATTAATCGAAGCAGAAAAGCTGTATATAACGTATTAACCCTTTGAACTCTGTAGACTCTGATATTGCACCAGTTATAATATTATATATTTTAATCAATCTTAAAGAAACCACCCTAAAATTATTCGATTTTCCGCACATCCAAATTTTCTACTAAGAAGGTGAATAAAAGATCAAAAGAATGTTATAGCATTTCTCATTTTCGCTTTGAATACTATAAAAATTAGTTGCAGTTGCTGATAGATTACAAAACAACCTGGAGTGCTAAGGGTTAAAAGATGTGGATAACTACGGTAAAAGGAAAAGCATTGGATGGCCAGCAGCCGTATCACACTGTGACAAGGTAGCAATACTTCGTGCTGCATCAAATTCTTGTGCCACTGTAAGAGAAACTGCTTGCAAAGCTGGTGTACATATTGATATTCAAAATATTCCACATGTGCTTCAAATGAGTAATATTATAAACCGATCAAAAATAAAAACCAAGCCATGATTAACAAAGAATTATAAGGAAGCACGCCTTGAATTTGCGAAAAAAAACATACACTGGAGGAAAACCTGGATGAATGTAATCTTTACAGATGAAAAACGGTTTTGTCTGGATGGTCCAGATAGTAGTGCATACTATTATCATGACATTCGAAAAGGGCAATTAATAAAAATTAGACTACAAATGAAAGGAGGTGGTATAATGATTTGTGCCGGCATATGTTACAAAGGGAAAACGAATATTAATTTTATACAAGGAAAAATGAATAGTGCAAGTTATTTGAGCTTAATTAAAAACCAAATTGATAAGTATGCACAATGCAGATATAAAATTTGTGTTCCAACAAGGTAATGCTGCCATACAAGCGGCAAAAATTATTTATGAATAGTTTTCAAAAGAGAAAATTTCTGTTTTGGAATGGCTGGTCTGTCCTCCGGACCTGAATATAGTTGAGAACTGTTGGGAACACTTCATATTTACTTAGGTAAATAAAATACATGAATAACAAATAGAATTCATGCGATGATTTAATATTTGCTATAACTCACATGAACTATGTATTTAACTGATTATTACAATGCATTTGGCTTTAATTATTTATATTCAATGCCATGTGTAATATTGTACAGTGTCTCCCGTACGTATTATGAAATAATTCCAGGATAAATGATGCATTTACTAGGTTGCATAACCTATATAAAATTATTCATATCCATGTAGGAAGTTTGCATAATATATGAAATAACGCGATTTTTAAGTAGGTGATAATACACATAAGACGGTCATTTTGATTTTTTAATAGTTTCTTAATTATTTTTCTTAAATCACTGCAATAATCATATTTATTATCTCAAGTGAGTACTTACGAGTCGTTGGAAACATTTGTTTTCTTGAAAGGAAATAGATATTATCGGTATAATCGGTAGAAACGATTGCTTTAAAAATCTGGTGCAACGAAAGAAAAAATAAAACGAGAAATTTAATAACATTTTATAAAAACCTTTCATTTTAATTGGAATTACTAATAACTTTTTACAAAACAAATATTTAATAGCATCAGTATCAACTTCTTACAAGAACAATTATATTTAAAAGGACTGCATAATTAGATCTCTAAGATTAACTCATACTGTAAGTACAATTGAAACAATATTGTACAGTATGCAGTATACATCACACGTACACGAGACGATATTATATTACACTATACTTTAAATACTGTAACTGATATCGCACTTGCTAATCACTCGCACATTTAACTTCGCCAGCTAATATACCATGCATAAAGAGATCCTTAAATTATTAGTATGCTAACATGTTTATGGTATTTGTACAATTTTGGCTTGTTCTACGTATCAATTAATTTACAAACACGTCGAGCATTCTGGTAACATCCGTACATCCAATGACTACTAAAACGATCGGCATGTTCCGCTGCAGAACACATGACGAACACAATTCATAAATGGTATCTAGGTACAACACTGTTTCTCTAATTTAAAGCTAATTAATTTTTCGCTTTCCTGTTGTGGACATCAGGTGATAACGTTTGTAAGATCGCACGACTAGTGTCGCGATGATACTGGTTGTTTTTGAAATTACTAAAACGGCTACGATCGTCAGGAACACCACGATGTCCATATCGCAGCGTTGGTACCACGGTTGATCAGCCAAAGTCGATCGAAAATGAGGGGCTCCTTTGTGACGGATCACGTATTCCGTCCACCACACCAAATGCTCTACCATATCGTAAGGATTGTCGTTCATGGTGTTTTTGAGTTCGATCATTTTTTCCTTGTATCTAGAAAGATAAACGTAGGCTTACAATCGCCGTACAGATTTTTCTCTTTAACATGAAAATTTACTACAATACTTGTTAGTCTTAAAATGATAAGTATTATTGCGTCTGCTATAATAAAATTGTATGTTACAGTGTGATACTTTGGCATTTTTAGACAAAACGTTTCACATTAAGTCACTCCAGATTTTAAGAGTTTCACAATTGCTACAATACATACAATTTTCAACAACTCTGACAAATATTGATACGAGGCTAAGTGTATATTGTAATAAAAAGAAGTCATTGTGAGAAATCATCATAATTCAAAGGTATTTATATTCTGGAAAGAAAAGAGTTTCGGTCTCCTGTTGATGTGATCGTTCTTCATCCTTAGATAAAGGTCCAGGATGGACATTTGGTAAATTGTTTTAGTAGTATTTGGGGATCTAGCGCGTAGATGGTTTCTCAGCAGAATGCATCTATATAGTAATCGCCCCTTTTATTATGGGGAGAAGATGGTTTGGGCTTTTTTTGCGTAATCTTCTAATAAGATCTTCTGAGTATAATTTAGTTGCTACGTCACTTGAATGATTTTCTAGTCTTGTTTTATGTCTGTCACATAGACGTTTTATTTTCTTTTCGATTGATCTGGTCTTAAGATCGTTACGTAATTGTTCGTTCCTCATGCATCAGTGCGTGTTTACAATTGTTCTTAGTATGATGGATTGCAGTACTTCTATTTTTGGCTATATTATGACTTTCGCGTGCCATGCCCCATAATGCCATCCCGTATGTCCAAATAGATTTTATTACTATTTTTAAAAAGGGTTTGTTGCTTATATCGAACCTTGCGTTTTTACTGGTGAGCTAGTACATCTCTCGTCTTTTAATGCGAATTTGATCTATTTTGGCTTTTATGTGTTGTTTTCATATCAGCTTTGTATCCATGTGTATACTTAAGTATTTCACTGTGTTAGTTTGGAGAATAAGATCATTGTTTGCAGTGACAGGTGGAACGATACCTTTTTTTTTAATGTAAATGTAATATGCTTGCACTTATCAGCATTTACTTTTATTTTCCAGTTTCTTAGCTATTGGTCGATTTTTAAAATGTGTTGTTAGAGCTTGGAGTAAGCTGTTTTAGGATCACAGTGAGCAGGTAGGACTGCAGTATCATCCGCGAATATAAATATTGTGGTTTCGTAAGTAGTGGGGACATCTGCTGTGTGTAGCGTACAATATAGGACCTAGTACACTGCCTTGTGGTACTCCTACTTTGATATTACAGATTTCCGAGAGGAAGTCCTGAATTTTAACAAAGAATGTTCTGTCCTCGAGGTACGATTTTAGTAGTTGATGGTAGGATGAAGGAAAGTTTTTCTTGATTGTAAGCAAAAGGCCTTCGTGCCGTACTCTGTCAAAGATTTTTTCTATATCTAGAGAAAGGGCAGTGCAGTACTTTCTTTGTTCGAATGAAGGAACGATTTTGTTAGCTAGTCTATGTACTAGCTCAGTAGTCGCATATTTATTTCTAAAGTCAAACCGGTGGAATGATATTAGATTTTTCTTGTCAATTATTTTGTTTATTTAGCTAGTATTTAGCTAATATTATTTTTTCAAGTATTTTGGACAGTAAAGGAAGAAGCGAGATCGGCCGATGTGATGATGGTAGATGAGGGTTTTTTTTTGTTTTCGGTAACATAATAATAATTATAAATTTCGTGTTGCATGTTCGAAGATTTTGCCCCGTAGTAAATTTTTTTGGAGTCCCATAGGTTATGTTTAGATCCATAGTACACTGATTTTTCGTTTCTTTATTGTATCGCTTCTGCTGCTTCTAACAGTCAATTCGTTAGTTTCCATTAAGTCTGTCGTATTTATTGAATTGTTATTCTTGGTTTTTTGTCTAACAGAGTAGTTCTCCCCAGTTTTGGTGAATTTTAACTGGAGGTTGCCATTTTGTGCCATTTAAAATTTGAACTTATCAAACGGCAAATTCTTCTGTCACTTACTTACACTAGCTGTGAGCGAGTAGATACACAAGTACACAATGCAATGATAACCGATAGCTTCGCGTAAACACGTCTGCTCACTTTGGATTTTCGGGTGAGACTACCATAGATATCATAGAATACCAAAGTTTGATCACTTATTTCACTACTACTGTACATTTTCTCAATAAAATCATTCATTTGTTAGTTGTGTGATGAAAAGTACATATTACAGATATTATAAATACTGCGCATACTCACTGTTTGTTATTCATCAGTTCTAGAATAGCCCCTTCCAATTCCTCTCTTGTGATGGTTGTGATTTCTGAACGTATCGCGACCCCAAGGGCCTCCATCCTACCTACTTGGTAGTCCTGATCTGCTAATACCGGAAATCCTAATAACGGTACCGTGAAATGTACCGCTTCTTCGGTACTTTGTAGACCTCCTTGGTAAATGAACATCTTAATATTGGGATGTGCTGCATAATAGTGAATAGCGATTAATAATTAATAATTAAAGTCTATATACCATGAATTTACACGTTACTTGGAGCATGAGATTTTACCAAGAATACTTTGTTGGGGAAGCCATTTTCCGAAAAAGATATTGTCACGTTTGATTGGCGGCTCTTTCTCGTACTTCCACACAACTTTGTAGGGCAATTTATCGAACACGTCGAAGAAAACCTGTAGAGTCTCTTTCGGCAGGTCCGAGCTCATAGCGTTGCTGCCGAGGCTGAAGTAGATGCATCCTTCAGTCGCTTGATCCAAGAAGCGTTTCAAATCCTACCACAAGGAATTGAGAATACATACTTGCTTTCGACGTTATCAAGAAACTAGCACTATTTGTTATCAGTGTATCATCAATATTCAAAGTTTCATATTGGACAGAGATTTGAACATAAGCTTCATAAATGAAGTTTTTCAGAACATGATAACGTGAGGATCACATTAGGTATTAAATTTTTTTAGTGCATTGTTGAAGTACGGCGCTGAAGCATTATTTCTATTTCTGGATTGTGATACATTTTTCTGCCCTACTTAGTCCTGATTTATAATTTAATAAATTGTAGCAGCATGTAAAAGTATTATTGAGAAATCGAAATACAAGCAACGCAAACTATCCTAATTAAAAAGATCTAAATAATTATTTACTGTATTATGTATTCGAATTTTGGCAGTTGAGATGATAATAACTGGGCGACATGTTCTTATGCATTCATGGCGACTATGAAGATCCAAAACTATCGATCGCACTTCATGCGCACAGTTTAAGAAGGTATATCGTATAACCCAAGTGTAATAAATAGTGTATAATTATAATATTCAAATCGCATAAAAATCCGCAGTATAACAATATCTGTCACAGTAAAATGAATAGTATTATACCTGGGGCAACGGAATCTGTTTTTCCTTGACGTGGAAGGAGGTGAACGTGATCATGTTTGCCAGTTTTGGTCGCGCGGGAGTTATAGCATCGGCTTGATTGACAAATATAAGGCTGGTGTTCTTCAGTATGTCGAGTAGTGGAGGCAGAGGCTTCTCGAAGTACTTTTGCGCTAATTTTTGTTGCTCGGGAAATAGGTCACGGTACAAAATATGCACAATACGATATAGGTTCACAAAGTTCTGTAGCCTTTTCCAAAATGGCTGATGCGTTCCTACGTTTGCTTCCATTTCCCAGGTGTATTCGTGTGATGGCAATACAAGGCCGCCGAGAGCATGTTCATTGAGTGCAAGCACCCCTAATGAACTTAATCCTAAAAACATGCGAAAGAACAAAATTATTTTATATAATAATTTTTTTGTTAAAATATTGTCATTGTAGAGGGAGATAGATAATTTAGTATTGCTTTCCTTTTGCTTTCATTTCGTCCAATTTTTATTTCTTTCTACAATGAATAATTGTTATACTATATAGGATCTATAAAAAAATTAAGTAGCAACTAGGCAGTTTAAGGGACAGTATTAATGACAGCATTCTGAGTAAGGTTTCAACACGCCTGGGTCTTTCCTGCTCCTAGTCAGTTCCGCGTGAATTTGCATAGATATAAGTATCCGTTAAACTTCTTGTACTTCTCCCGGCGTCTAAGGCACGGGTCTACCAGTTTGCGTCACTGACGAGTCTACCGGTTGACCCCGGAAGAAACGCCTCTTGTTCCACTTTTTATCCTAGTAAGTTTTATTTTTTTATCCTAGCAAAACCTTTTATCTAGTAAAACCTAGTCATCTTCAATCTTGTAGAATGTTTGAGAAGCACAGAAAGAGTTTTGTCATTTTGATTATTATCTACATGGACATAGGTGTGTATATTTCATCTTTTCCAATGACTTTACTTTCCTCTATACAAATGACTGTTATTTGGCACTAGCATCAAAAACACGTAACAATATGTTTAGTATTCCGCACCGTATATACAATGTACCGTACTTCTGTTAATAATAAAGTAGATAATTATCAATTGCAGTCATTCTTATTTATTGCTAATTCCAAGTACGTGCAAAATCAAATCTGAGTTTAAAGAAAATTTATCTTATATTCTCTAAAATGCATAACTTCAAGTACATGAAGTTAAGAATATTTTTGCAAATATTTACTTAAATCCCCAGGACTTGATGGCTGTTTTGTGACTATCTTCGATGAGTATGAGACAGTTTTCAAAATTTCGATTTTTTAGACTCTTCTGGAAACATCCACCTGTTGCTTAGGTGATGTATCAGGAGGAAATGGTACATTATATGATTGTGCTTTTCTCTGAAAATTCATAACATTCTCGAAAATGCCGAATCTTTCCAGAATGCGGTCCCGAATATCGAGATTCCGAGAATTTCGAAATTTCGCACTGTTTAGAATTGAGAGATTAAAAAAAAAAATTAATGTACGTATTTGTATAATTGTATCAGTCAAAATCGACGAAAACTTTTATGAAATAATGTTAAAAAATTTAATATCCGCCAAATTGTCGGTTTGCGTAAAGCTATTGTTAATTGTGGGTTGCAGAGAAATCTATTCACTCATTAGAACTGTTAATTATATATTTGTGGACTGTATGTTTGTTGCACGTCTGTAAAGTTTGTGACTTTACGTAACATACCGCTGTATCTGTGAAATAATTAATTTTATCTGATCTGTTTATGTTATTAAAACTAAAGAGAATTATCTCGTCTATGACGTCCCCCGTAAATATTGTTTGTGAACATCTGATAGCTGTCACAACTAGTACTGTTATCAATTTCGCATTTGCATCTTCGCCTTTATAAATTTGACCATACATATACACGTGTGCAGACATATATTTAGGCAAAGAAATATATTCTTGCTAGATATCTGTAAAAGCAAATATTCCGCAAATTCCAAAAATATGTACGCAATTATTTGAACAAAATTAAATATAAAATACATATCAACATCACACTATAAAGGATTAATACAGGATTAATTAAATACACCTAAAACAATTTCTATTATTTTTCCACAATTTTCAATGATTTTCTCATTTAGTCTCTTAATTTGAAAAATACAAAAATAGTAACTCCCATTTGTATTATTGTTTTTAAGTCACTTCCTTTGATTTCGTAAAATACGGCGTTCGCAGTTCTTTTCAATTTTCTACATTTTTGTTCAAACAAACACTAATTTATCAAAATGAGATTTAAAACTTACCTATCATGGGCGCGTTGAACCTGTGAGCGAAGACGTACGTGGCAGGGACCGCCAGCATCTCGACCAGCACAACGTCGAAATGCTCGTTGCTGTTAGGCGCATACAACCGTTTCATGTCCGTGTTGTTCAGCACGTTCTCCGCGAAAGAGGTGCCCATGGCCATCAAATTTTCCTCGACGAATGTCAACCACTTCACTTTGTCAAACCGCATCTTAATGAAGTCGATCTTCCTTATGTCACTGTAGGACTGGCCAACGTTGATCTGCGTAAAGTTTTTCCGGTCCAGGTTCGGAATCGGATCCGCAGTAACGAGCACGACATCGTGCCCTCGTTTATTCAGTTCTAACCACAGTGGACGGTACGGGATCTGATGACTATAGGAAGGCGTCGGAACGATAGCTAGAATCCTGGCAGACTGCAACTGCCTGATGACACATAGGATGCAGAAGAGGAAAAGCGCGACGGACACCGCGAACTTCATAGCGACGCGTTAGAGAACAATCGACTGCAGACGCTGGTCGCGGAGGTACTAATCATAAAACATTACGTCCGCACGGATTTTCTGAAGAAGAGCTTTATGCGGGAACGCTATCGGCAATAGACTCCTATAGTTAGTATTGGTCGAGTCATGCTGTCGGACTAGGATTGTGCAATTCATAAGCAAAAGGAGTAAGCTTGGTGCAAAGTTGTCAAGGCAGGGTCACTTTAATTGGTACATAGGTGGAGCCAGTGGGCTGGCTAACAGGTTTCAAACGTATTCGAAATTTGCGTACACGATTGGTATAGGTGTATTGTGTGCTTTAAGGCTTTCGCGACTAACATCCATTTGAGTTTTCTGTTTTTCTTTACTCAAGACATAAAGTGTTGAGCGTCAGTAATATGTAATGCCATTCGAGAAACTGTTAACTACTTGTGTTGATAGCTTTTTAACTTGGCCATGCATGACAAATCCGTTTAGAACAATTAATGGGTGAACCGTTATGCTTGAAATTGTTTGAGTAAGATGTTTAGACGGGAGCGTTGTGATAAAAATCTTTTGTTTATAATGTTTCTGTTAATGGTACTAACACTGAACTAGTGAGCAGTTTTTTCTTATTACAAATTCTGCATATGTGCAATTTATCATATAATGATATTTAACACTTATTTTGGTGTTAAATAAATTTAGTTTATGTCACTAAATCTGTATGATACCTGTAAGAAGTGATGTTTCTTGAGTCTTTCTCGTTCGTCTGAGCTGTCCAAAATTTTTGTGGCCAGGTTGTTGGGGTGATTCTTCAGTCTTTGTTGAGATAATCTACTTTGTTTTGCAATTTCCTCTTTGACAGTGTGTATACCGGTTTCCTTATATATTTGATTACGATATACGATTCCGCGTTCAAAATAGATCTCGGTTGGATTGGAATGGGTCTCTGGTTGGATTCTAACTGTATTGTTTCCTTCAATTTTTATACATATTATATTGTAGCGAGGCAAAATATTCGGGAATTTTCCATAGTACACTTTCTCGCGCCCCGCCGAGGCCGTGCGAGTCTGGCTGCGGTCAGTTCACGCATCTGGCAGCCAGATTCGCACGAGCCAGGGTTTTTCCAGCCAGCCACGCGGACACTTTCTCCGGGATTTTCGCGCGCTTTTCAGGCGCGCTTTTCCTCCCGCGCTTTTGGGGTTCGCGTGGCTTCCTTCCTGTCCTTGTCTAAGGACAGGGGGATATAACCCGGAAGACCGGCGGGACGACTCTCAGTTCTCAGCTATCCATCCGCCACTGACAGTGCCCCGTCACTCGGTCAGACTCAACTTCGCTACAATGCTACATCGCCCGAACGCGAGTCCACCCTTTTGTCGACTTTGTTCGCTAGTGCGTCGCGCTCTCCCCACACTAACCACCTCAATATAATTTACCTCTAACTTTGTTAGCACTTCAGATAGTTTTTAAATGTTGCTGACGTTGGGTATTATGATTACATGTGGTTTTCTAGGCTTCGGTTTTGCTTCCATTGCTTTGTCATCAGCTACATTTTGTAAAATTTCAAATCTGCTAAACGTAATACTGTTGTAGATACCTGTATTATCAGCTGTGGGTGGCGAAACCGGACTGAGATTGTTTTTGTTTTCCTTCGATATTACTTGTAGCGAAAGATTCTTGTCCAATAAAGTTGTCGCTTCTCTTATTCTTTTGGACTGGACTACTTCCCAGCTTTCCTGGAAGTCTTTCTTTGAAATATATGTTGACTGTACGTCTTCGACGTTGAGATTTATTATTTGGTTTATTATGGTATCGGCTAATCTAGTGGTTTTGTTGTGTGTTATTTGTGTTTTACCTTTTGAATTCTGTACTACTTTTTTAATGCTTCTCAACACTGAACTACCGAGCAGTAAAATTGATTATTCTGTATTTCCTTATATAATGTATAAAAATACATTTATTGAGTGTTCAGTTGATTTATATTCTAGTTTTTATGTCTCTAAATCAATTTATTGAATAATTTCTCAGAAAATCGTCTATATCTTTTCGATAATAACGAAATAAGTGACATGAAATGAGTTATTTTGACCCATTTGGTAGTTCTAGTGTTAAAGTAGATGCTGTCTTTTTTGAAGTGTTCATTAATGTTTAACTGTAAGATAATGTCGCTTACGCTCGCACATGCATCTTTGCTATATTTATGTGTATTATCTTTGAGTGTACTTATCTTTGCTGTCTGATAGTTAAACGTATAAACTTCTACTTCTCAGAACGCGTGCAATATCTGTTGCAATTTATTTAACACATTTGTAAACACATCTTAACTGTTTGACTACCGGAACAGGACTCCCACCGGAGCAGTTAAATATATTTTTTGCAATTCCTCTATAAAAACTCCCAGAGTGCGTCTATTGAGACTTTAATTCATTTACCATTCAATTTGTGCATTGTCAAATCAATTTTTTAATACATTCTCAGAGGAACTTCTGTTATCTTATCTATATTATTTTGTTGCTATCGTTAAACTAGTATTTTATACATCATGCTAAATAACATAACTCTACCGTATTTTTAATACTTCTTTTTCGAATATGAGGGAATAATATTGTTAATTTCGGAAACCGGTATCACTTCACATTCTAGAATCGAATACATTTTAATACAGTCAATTTTTTATTCATATTTATGGTGATACAGCATTTTTTATAATTGTTTTACGGTTGCGTATCATGTTTTGTTAAACCAATTACAATGTTCTTTGTAATCACAAGCTAATTAAAGCTGGCACACAATTAAATTAATTACGGTAACTGAATAAAGAGATTCATAAACTCTTTAATATTATTAATAGTGCAGTATAAAGTGATGAATTTCAGCCAGATATATCCTATAAAATGATAAAACATTTTTCATTTTTCAAATACACAAAAAAATAGTTTGATATTTGATGTCTTAAATACTGGTTGTATATTATTATTAAAATTATCATCTAATTTTTGGAAATATAAGCAGGTGTTGAATCTTATGGTAAAATTGAGCTAACATAAGTAACAGACACATTAGCCAAGTTCCATTTAATAAATACCTAATTGAAATCAAAATTAATTTCTTAAATATAGATTACACGAAAGTATTTATTTTCACTTTCAACCTACTTTTTTCCTTAAATTCAAGTTGCTACATTCTCTTTATACTGTCAATTCAGAGTCACTCTATATGGAAGAGTTACGTGGAAGAGTTGCGAGTCATCAATATTGACTTCATTGAGCTTATCGTGACGAAGATAAGAAAAAAGTAACTCTTGTTGGTGTGTGTATATGCTACAGAGAAATGTTTATTCTACATATTCCCATTATCAGTTTCGCAATAAGAGGCCTGCAACTTCTGTCGATGCACGGCTTTCTCATGACTGTTTCAATGCCAACAAATTAGTTTAAAGTTTCCTTGTATCTTCTAGAGTAATCTTGCGCGAGGTATGTTAGTTTTGAGCAACTCATCTAGTAGTAATGAAAATATTCTTGGTGGTTGAAATCATTTTTTTTAAGCTTACATACATATAACAGTTTCTAACATCACAAAAATATGATCAGTTGTATTCATTTGAATTTAAAGAACTGTGAAAAGTTTTATAATAGATCATACAAGAAAATGATCATGACAGAGAGGAAATGATAGCGAGGAAAATTTTGATGGAATCCATCAGTACAATGAGATCATTGGAACAGCGCATGCTTGATAGGTCAAACACTAACAATAAGCGTATTTAATCTACGGATTTCCCATTTGACTGTTGCGCTTAATGACGCAAGCTCAGGTATTTTCTTCAAGAAAATCAGCTGAATTTACTACGTCGTTCATAATAATTTCAACGGGAAATAATTATTGAAGAAGATAAACTTTGACTTTATTAACACACTGTATTTGGTTGTATCGAGATAAATGTAAGGTGAGAATAGAAATAGCTCTAATATGTTAACTCTTCAGCTTAAGACGAATAGACAAATTCTACATTTCATTTATACATAATTTTATCAACAAAGAACATTGTTCCAGCGTGTACGTCGCGGAAACAGGCCCCCAATAAACAAATAAAGATTAATATTTAATCTCATCCGCAGCCCTGGAGAAATTAAGGTAATTCTCCTTTTTGTCAAACGATCTGCCTGTCCGGAGGTATAACTTTATAATTTCTACAGAAGAAAATCGTATCCAAATTAGAAGAGACGGCTGGCAATCTGCACAATAAATAATATTTCATATGCAAGTCGCCAGCATGTTTTTTGGGAACCTTTTCATATTTTATTTTTATTCATAAATAGCACATCGTCGAGTTTTCTACCGCCTTAACAGCTAATTGCATCGCCATAAACGTGAATTTCCAAAAGACCTCGAGAAATTCCACCACGCTGCCGAATTTACCTTATCCTCATCATACTACCTCTTCTTGAGAGCACGGAATAGGTCAGTGTCAAGAAGTTGATATTTGATTGGTCAAGATATCACCATCAATTAGAAGTCAGTTTAAAAACATCTACAGTAAGAAGAACACCTCCTAATAGACTCCGGAATATCCGTCCTCACGAGAGGTGGAAACCCAGAAATCCACCCGACATTCCGTCATAACATCTACACTTACACACACACGTACATTCAATCATTCACGCATCATTCATTAAGTACTAATAATTAAGTGTTTTGTTTCTTAAATATATTGTTAATAGTTCAAACCGAAGTCTTCATCACTGGTATCCACTTACATCAACAATCACTCCTTATCTCCATAATCGGTCATAGGGAGAATCATTCAAACTCACGGTAGGACCCTGGTCGAAGTCGAGACTTACAACCTCGGCTTCTATTGTTGGCACTGGCCGCAACCTCATCGTAAAGCGTAATAAATATACGAACGAACAATCATGATAGATCGATTGAGTAATTAAATGACACGGTTGCAGAGTTCATCACAATTTAGCGTTGCATAATACATAAATAGCAAATGTGTTATACATTGCTTATTGTGTAACCTGCCATGTGCAATATTTACCATTGCAGAATGACTTGACAATTATTGAAGCTATATCGTTGGATGAAATGTGTTTCATAAGTGACACGCGGAGAGCATCTGGATTATTCAATGATTAGCATGTTCACATATGCTCTATAAACACATAGGTTTACTTATCGTTTTTCTTCCGTTATCATAACGTTACTGAAATGCCAATAGTAGGAGTATTTCCACATCGTTGTTAACCGTAAAATAAAAACAATAGAGAAATCATACTACAATTATGTATAAATTAGTGTTTCAGAGAAACTAGTAATACATCAATCTCTGTGTTGATTTATTAATATTAATTGAGCAATGTGCCTTAAAGCATTATCTGTTTCGAACGACCTTTTAGTATCAATAACTAATACAAAGGTATGTAAATGAAGTCATAATATTTTTTTACATTGCATACTATTGTTCACAAGTCATAGAATACCTGAAGTTTCTTATACAATAAAATATGTTTACACAATAAACTTGTGATATTAATAAATTTATATTTTAATTTATATCACAATGTACTAATGTCATGAATAAACTGCGGATTATTCTACACATTTCCATTTTCGTAGATTATTTTATAAAGATGAATCTACAGTAGAAAAGTTGTTCTCGTTAATTAAAAGATACTTTAGAGCAAGAACAAAGTAAAAATGTTATTAATTTTAGTTTAAGATATACAACTATTTACCTACATCATATTATTTGGAATAATCAACAGTAAATAATCTATTTTATTTTAAGTCGTCTACGTACTTTCTAAATTAGAATATTTGATCGAATCAAGTTTCCGAATCAGTATACAAAAGCGATATCTTATTTGAAAAGTATTTCCAGTCTTATATTGAGATATTTCTATTTGCCCTTGCTGGGTAAATCCTATGCACGCAAAGCAGCAGCTTGAATGATCAATATTTCGAATGACGCGTTTTGTTATATTTAAATAATCAAGCTTAAACTCCAAATAAATTGACTTCGTTAAATATTATGATTTCTTGCGACATAGCACTGTTCCGTTTCTCAATTTAGTATTATCACCCAGACATATTTTATGTACATATTTGAAATAGCTGTGTAAAATGCTCCATTTTATGATTCAGGTCATGAGTATAAAAATATTCTATTTCTCGACATTTTGCTACCAATGTTAAATTCTGTTTCACTCGAAATGTATGTGGAATAATATTATAAATAGTTATTTAAATATTTTTTTAATTATTTCTTAAAAATTATTAATGATATTGAAGATTATAGGAACTAAAGGAATAGGTAATATTTTACAATTTTAAGACGATCAATAGGAAGTGATAACAAACTGGATAATGGAATGAGAATTTAAAGGTTCGTTTCCAAACGAAACAAATACAGTACTAAAAATATCCTTGAAGATTATAGTGTCTACACAATTTCACAGTTGGGTTATTAAAATATTTATTAAGAATTTTTAAATTGACAGGTTTATTAATAGTTTCTTCTTAAACATTCACATCATATTTGGAAATAAGTATGTAATCAGGAAGCTATAAGGGCCAACTATCTCAATAATCACTATCCCATACAGTTCTAGAAGAAAAAGAAACTGTCTGTCTTTAAACTGCAGAAGATTTAAGAATGAAATAAAATTTATTAGTACATTATTAAAAGCATTTATTAAGAGGAGTTTTTACAATGCTATTACAACAAAATAGTATAGTGTAGTGGTGGTTTTACTATTAGATGATATTGAAAATGTGGATCTTTAGTAAAAAGAGAATTAGGAAAACAACAATATATTTAATAAGATAAAGGAAACAATACGGACAACACGTAAAATACAACACACGACTCTCGCACCAAAAATGTTCTACTCCGCTGTCGCTCACCAAAATGTC